TATAAAGAATTTGAAAATTACGAACTCTCACAGGCTGTAGAAATTAATGTTTTTTTCATAAGTCTGTTTTACATAATATGAATGAAAATTCAACTTCAGCTTTAATACATCTATATCTCTTTAATATCTCTATTATACGTACCTTATTATTTTTATATAAAAATTTTATACATATACAAATTATATTAAAATTTATTACATATTTCTAAGTGTGTATGTATATAAGCGTGTATGTATAATAATTAAATGATTATTTTTATTATGAATCTATATTTTCTCATACAAGACAGTAAAAATTGTACACCTCCCTATAGATTATTTAATACTTCTATAGAATTTAATGTAACTTACATATTTTCAAAAAATTAACTCAGCGTAAACTATTGCTGTTGTATCTATATTTTCAATTAATAATTAAAAAATATATCTTTGCAAAACTTGAATTTATAACCTCTCAGCACACGAACCAAAAGTTGTGACCTTACACAATACGCTCAAGCTGATTGATCCCCCACCGCTTACTGTGAAAGAGAGAAACACAACTATGTCTGGAGTAGAGCTGTCCTTCAATGTTGTCTTTAACTTCTCACGCTCCATCTATCTTATAAGTCTATGGCCGGTATTCATAGTCAGTTCTTATATTCAAGATCGTCTCAAGTTCAGCCTTGAGGTGTTATGAACCAATAAGAGAGCCGCATTAGCGTATTAAGACATTACTTAAGACGGTCTTGAAATAAGAACCGACTATGAATACCGGCCTATGATTCCTGTGGGTTCCCCCTACTACCGCTCAAGGCTCGGCGGCCTAGTTGCCTATCGCGCGCGCGACGTTATGGCTCAGGAGCGTGTCCCTATATCAGAAATTAGAGACCCTTTAATCAGAGGGTCTCTATCAGAAATATACTAGGAGTGCACCTTCTGCCAAATCATTATTGAAATATATTTTTTATTAAAAAATATATTTCAATAATGATTTGGCGGAAGGTGCGCTCCTAGTATAAGTTAAACTTCGGAAAAGCTACAGCATCTACAATTTTAATGCAAATACATTTTTTCCATGTATTTTTGGCTCCTGAAAACGAATCTGACAATAAAATTTGGCGGTCAATCATACTTTGGCCGTCATTTTGAAATACGAAACGTGTATCAGTCATTTTGAAAAAACTGTCAAAAAATTGGTTTTTTTCGCTCTTTTAATGCATATCTCAGTAGAAAATATTGATTTCACAAAAAAAGTTTCAAACAAAAAATGAAGCCCTTTAAACTTTTTACAAAAAAGTTTCTATGCATAATGTTCGTAAATTTAACGGTTGTTTAGTGGAATTCAGTACAACACAAAAAAAATGTTTGCACTGTCTTTTCGTTTTAGTTTTATTGATCACAAATACACAGCTTCGTTTTATTACAGCGCATTAGTCACTGCGCGATTGTTTCGATACACGATAACGCTCGTTTAAATAATATTTGTCAGTTAATTCGACGACGCCTGGGGGC